CTATCAAACTACCACTGAAATAGGAGAAGAAATAATAATAATAATAATAATAATAATAAACTTTATTCATGAAATAAGAATTGTAAAGAGTAGTTACATATGAGTAGTAGTATAAATAAAGTTGGTAATCAATAAGTGCGATGCACTTGTTTCGATTATAAGTAAGAATATATAGGAACAATGAAATTACAATATGTTCATTAAAGGTAACAACTGCCATAAAATACTATCAAATGCTATAAAATGCTGTAAAATAGAATGTAGACAATAAAAGAAATAAAATACTATACAGATACAATAAATGCAGAAAGCGCAATAAAATGCAGAAAAAATACAATAAAAAAAAAAAAAATTTCCTTATGATTATAGTTGAGGTAAGAAGGAGATGGTATATAATTTAGTCATTGTTTTTGCCATTTTGACTCTATCAAAGTAGTAAAATACAATCTAGGAGTCTGGAGTGAAAAAAATCTCAGTTGTGTTTTGAATGTTTTTTTGTTGCTAAGAGATTTTATGTTTCCGGGAATAGAGTTGTATATTTTAGTGCCGATATAAGAGTAACTTTTCTGTGATAGTGATTTTTTCACTAATGGTTGCATTAGTAGTTGACGACCTCTGGTTTCATACTGGTGGTCGGGATGAGGTGCTTTATCTTCACTAAAATGATATCTTATACACACATTGAAATAAAATAGCTGGCGAATATCCATGATCTGTGATGTACTATATAGGTCATCAGAGGAGTATCTACGCGGTTTTGACATAATTATTTTTAGGAACCTTTTTTGTAGGATTTCTAATGGATTTATGTATATTCGCGCAGCTGTGCCCCATGCCTGTATTCCATATCTGAGGTGGCTTTCTACAAGTGCAAAGTACAGTGTTTTCAATTGTTCCGGTGATAAGTATTCTTTCATATGTTTGAAGGAAAAAATTATTTTTTGTATTTTTTTTATCGTGTAGTCGACATGTCTATCCCACCTCAGATGTCGATCGAGATATACACCCAGATATTTAAATTCTTCCACTGACTGGATACCATATTCTTTGTCATTTATGCTCATATTAATTTGTCCCATGTCTGTCATACCAGCAGCATTACAGCTGAAGGGTAGGAATTTGGTTTTGTTGAGGTTCATTGTAAGGAGTTTGTGATCAAACCAGTCCTTTATTACCTTGAGGTCTTTTTCGACTTTCTTCCTTAAATTTGGCCAAGTATCTGCTTCATAAAAAACAGCAGTATCATCTGCAAATCCTATGATATCACCAGTTATCTTCAAGCTGAATAAGTCATTAATATAAATATTGAATAGTGTTGGACCCAAAACCGTTCCTTGTGGTACTCCGTATTCAATATTTAATTTTTGACTTATTTTGTCTCCCACTCTAACCACTTGCTTTCTTGTGTTTAGATAACTTTTGAATAAACTCAACACCATTCCTCTGATACCTGAGTCTTCTAATGTTCGAATTAATAACGTGTGGCTTACAGTGTCGAACGCCTTACTTAGGTCTATAAACAGGCACAAACTAGGCCTTCCATTTTCTAGAGACGTATGTATTTTTTTGGTTAAGTTAAGTAATAACAAAATCAATTCGATTCGGCACTTTGGCAAATACAGTTTTAATAAATACGGCCCTGTAGGACAAGGCCTGTTTCACAGAGGACTCGTGCTATAAGACAAATGGCAAGATTTCGCAACATTTCCCATTTAATCAAATTATAATGGGAGATACAAAAATCTTGGGCTTGAAAAAAAAAGTGTCATTGTTTATTTGGCACCTATATTAAATACGACCCTGAGAGCTGAATCTTTGGTCTTAGAGGATTGGTCACATGAAAACATTCGATCAGAAACTCCATACCAATAACATATGTGACTCTCAGGCAAATCCCACTGTGGGCCAATTCCCTATGGTTTTAAGCGGGGTCCTTTCACAAAGCGAAGAGTGGATCTCCAACAAATCTGGGTCTGAAAGGTTTGAATTCAGTCACATAATATCCCATCATTTTATCCCGGATGATATCTTATTGTGACTATTGTAACCAATCATAAGTCTGAAAACGTTTGATGAAATAACAGCAGGTGGATTCGGTTGCACGATCGTCGATTGTCGTACGAGACGATGATGTACTCGAAGTCAAATTCATTCCCTATTTTTTTTTTCCTGATAAAGTCGCGATCGAATTCGACTTCGGAAATCGTCCGTTTCTTGACGAAATGGGATGAGATTTGCTTCCAATGAAACGAGCACCGAGGCCATTGCCCGAAAGCCATCACAAATTTGAGGTTATGGTGGTGATATTGTTCCCATGAATCTCTATTTTTTTGAACCCCAAGACATTAATAAAGATAGGTAATTCTAATTGTTCGAGATGGTATTTCAGCAGCTTGAAATGGGAAAAAAAATTTGGATCTAATTTGTTGACGACAAGAACTATGAAAGAGTATTAGGTACCTACCTCCTATGTTTCCTCTTCGCCTTAAGAAAGATTCATTGAGCTATTCATATCGAACAAGAGGTTGGTAAGTCTTCTGATAGGTTCATTGAAACCCCACCTATTAGTGGAATAGTCAAGGTATGCAGGAAATAGGTATACAGAATCTCAAATATTCTGTTCATTGATGTTTTATGCAACTGGATCATAACAAAGATGCTACCTCAAGCAATTTCTCAGGAGTTCAATAATCAAGCCCCAATGAATTAACTCAGCTTAGCCTCATTCACAGTTTTTGATTGATTTCACGACCATAAGATTCTGATAATCATCCTGTGGCCGTTACAATGTTCTGTGCTGATGTAAAGATGTTATCAACATTTCCCAGTGGTCATCTCTGAGTTTGAACGACATCGAAAATTAACTATACAGGGTGAGTCATTAGTGTGGCAGAGTGAGATAATGAACATACATTTCAGAGATGATCTAGGATCATGAGCAGCACATTTCCAAATCATTTCACTTTTACAGGGTGACTCAGGAATGCGTGGCGAATCAAAGTCATAGTTTTTCTTATGGGACACCCTGTATTTCATCGCATTTTCGGATTCTCCTTTGTGAGCTGATTCCATCAATGAATCACACTTCGGGTCTAGCGAGAATGATTACAGAGATATGGGGTCTTCAAAATCGAGATTTCTCAACTTTAGGATTTTCCTGTGCCGAAACTATTGATTATTTGTCAAAACGGCTTCCATGTCCTTATCCCAACAACTGATTTGCAATATAATGACATTCAGTTGAAACAGATACAATAAGGTTGATCAGAATGCTGAATCTTGAACCACCCTGTATTCGTTCCTATTAAATGTCAGTAGATAGTAAATCAAAAGGTTGGGTTTTATGTGAGTGGGGCGAATGCTTCCCCTTCACTCCAATCAAAAGTTGGGATAAGGACATGAAAGCCGTTTTAACCAATAATGAATGGTTTCGACGCGAAAAAATCCTGTATTGATGAAGTAATAAGTCGATTACACACTTTCGAAGCTGTTTTTTCATATAAACAGGATGATCTCACCTCAAATTGGGATGAAGATGGGAAAGAACATTCAATGATATAGATGAGGATATATTGGCAAAACGCATCGACTCGACTCCTCTTGAGCTATTGAGGAATCGAGTCGAGTTTACACGATTCATTCGAGAAACAGTATACCAAATATCGAATAAAGATGGCTGATTCGAGTCGATTCGTGAAATAGAATCTTCCTCTAGATGTCAATGACAAAATAAAGGAGTCGAATTACTCTCTAACAGAAATTGAATAGTGAAACCACTTCATCACCCGTTCAACTACTGCCTGCTTACCTCAATGCCTGTTATACTACTTCGTTTCGTAGGAAGCTATATTATCATCATTACTTATCTTGTTACGCTGAGTCGTTCGAGAAAGTGGTAGTTCACGCCCAGTCATATATAATAGTCATTTTATTTTATCGAATGGACCACAGCTTTCATAAGATTTGACACATAGGAGCTAGGTATTCAAACACTATGAAATATACAGGGTGATTCACATAACAACCGACATAGGGCAGGGGCATGTAGGGGGTCCCAAAATATGGCAATTTAACGCAACTTACCTCTATACCAAGTTGCTTCCCTAAAGAGTCATAGGCATAACACTAAGAGCATGTCAACTTGCTCGTTAAAAGAAAACTTCCCGTTCATTTTAAAAACACTCAAACAACAATTACTTAATTGAACAACTCACTTGCCTCATTGTCAAGTTTGACGTTTATTTTCATAGCCAACTTTTGAATTTTCGATGATTTTAAATAACACACCTAGAGCGCGCGTATTCAGTTATTCGAGTTTTTGATGAAAATGATGAGGTTTTTCGAAAAATTACTGGAGTAAGAAAGGTTTTAGAATTGAATTGCCCACAAAACAAAGCAAAGATTTTTGAAATCCATCAAGTGTTAACAAAATTATGTTGAATATGAATGGTGCGCCACCCGGTATACCCCCTTTACAAATTTCAATTAAACTCTAGTTACTGTCAAGTAACGCCCTAAAGACATCCACGAAGTGAACCAAATTTGGTTGCTTTAAGTTCAAGAATAACGGAGATATTGATTTTTTTCAAAATTTATTACTTCACTTCCAAAGCCTATATCTCCTTATGGAAGCAACTTGGTATAAAGGTAAGTTGCGTTGAATTGCCATATTTTGGGACCCCCTACATGCTCCTGCTCTATGTCGGTTCTTATGTGAATCACCCTGTATATGATGATTCTCCACCAGAAATGACTGAAGAGATTAACAACCAGGTATTTTATCGAATGATTCAGAAACCTGCGGGACTACTCCAAATATCGTTATAACATTTAATAGCCCAATTGCTTCATCACGCTTGGACGTACGTTGCATAATTCAATTCATGATATTTGTTATCGAGATTTTTTAAATAAGTCCTGGGAGAAGATGAGAACGTTGAATCCAATAATAATCTCATAATTTCTGACAAGTTAGTTCTAGTAATTTGGTTTTAACTCACCTTGATCCAAACGGCATCTTTGGAGTTGTATCCAAACCATTTATCATCTTTGTATTTATATGATACTTTTTGCTCATCATCCCAGACTTCATTATAGTCCTTATAATTGATGCAAATCTGGAAACATGAAGAGTAAATTCGATTTGGTTCGACAGTTTTTGTTTCGTTCTGATGTTCATGAAAATCAGGTGTGGAAAACTACGTCCGCTATAATATGGTAATGTGAATTAGTATACTCCTATGAATCCGAGTAACTTCCTTCAATGATTATTCTATTGTGCAGAGCAGGTATCTCTCCAAACGTTTCTCCTCAGGAATCTTCATGGAAAGAAAGTTCTTACGGAAAAGTCTTGGGTTAGCAGAGGTGGCCAACGAACGTCACTTAATCTTGGGATAGCGATCAGAATAAAGGCCGTTATTTGAGTATCTGACCAAACTTCATGAAGCCAGTATTCGGCTGATTCTAAGACGAAATGTTCATTCATACATAGATCCTGAAATGCTTCGTTTCCAAGATAAAAATTAGAAGTATTAATTGTTGTTCTTCATGATTACTCTGTATGAGCTTGCATGAATGCTGACTTTAGTCCGGTTGGTGACTGGAAGAGACCTAAAATTTTCTAGATAATATACTAACAGGTTATTGGGTGATTGAAAGGCACCCACATCAGGATATGGAGACAAATCACCTTTTTGACTCGCCTACGGCTTGGCCTAAGATTTAGTCTACTCGTCCAAAATAACAGTATTTCCTGAACTCGTTACGTGAAATGCCATTTCATTATATCCTTAGGAACTGATTGATATACAAAAATTTTATAGAAAGCAAGAACGTTGTATATACAATTGGATGATCTATTGAACATATCGAACTTAAAAAAAATACATTGCTGGTACCTACCTTATTCACAATGAATATCGAAGAGGAAACCTACTCCGGCGTTGCTGAAATCATTATTTCGAATAGAATGAAATCAAAATAAGCTTTTTGATACTGTTAAGGATATCATGAAATTTCATTGAAATTCGAAAACAGAATTTCGGGCAATTAATGATAAAACGATTCTCATTGAACATTCAACACTCTATATCTTGAGGAGAGAGCATTTTTGGACCAATATTCACATGAAGTTTTGGTCTAAGGACCATTCGTATAGTCACCCTTCGAAGTTTGGTCGAATACTTTAATAACACCATGAATAATAAAGGTTTGTAAATTTATGATATTGGGCAAACAACGGTCATTGAGTATTATTCCTGTGTGGAGTGTCACTTCATCATGCTGAAGCTACACAAGCCAGACAGTAAAACAGAATTGTCATCAGGCAACCAAGTGTGGTCTGTGATGTGGCATAGTGACAGACCTAATTGAAGGAGACTTGTTGAACAGAGAATACAACAAATTCACTTTCGAATTGTGATCCTGCTGATAATGTTTTTCATTGTTGATATCCTAAATTTACATTTCATCACGTAACAGAATCTCTCAAGATTTGTCTCGCATCAGAAATTGATGTTTCGAAAATTTTTCTTTGGAATATCTGTCATTTCTGTAGGACCTTGTACTGATAGTCTGAGGTTCACACGTTGTCGAATGCTATCATCAGGAAAAATTTTACATCTTTGTATCATTGAGAATTCACAGCGATACTATTGAATTGATTGTATTACTGAATCAATTCGATACATGGGATATCTTCAATATCATGATTGCGAGAATTGAATTCTTGGAAAATATCATGTGGGTTGAGAGAAACTCTGCCAATCAACTGTTTTGAAATCTGAACTGTTTAACCTATATTCCTCATGATATCATACACTAGCCTTCGTGCCAGAGCCCTTCATTTTCGAAGAAGTTGGTCTCTTGAATTTCTCTAGCCTAGTCAACATGATGATGAAACTTGGAATTGATGGAAGCTTGGTGAAAATTGAAAATTATCTTTCTAAAAAAGTACAAGCCTCAATAATCAATATCTACTGGTTCCATTACAACTTTCATATATTTCATTATTATTGCACAGGAAAACTATTTTTTCAAGGAAATCGATCGTTCTTGGACACATAATATGTTCATTGTTACTTTTTTTCCATTTTGACTAAAAAAATATTACCGCGAACGCGCGAAGTATCGTGATATGATAATTGAACCATGTATTCATATATTGGATTGAAACTTGTCTCACGTCATCCCTGATCTTTCGTTTTCCTTGGGAAATTTGAATTTTTGTTTCAAACAACTCAAAATTATATACTTCGTAAATGAAATTTCCTATAAGAATTTGAATGATACCAAGAATGATGATGCTCATTCGCAACTCTTTCTCTCTTTCTCGACCTGAATTTTCATACATCTTTTATGTTTCTCCATGAGTATTAAACAATAGAGGTTGGGTCCACTGAACATGGCGGACAGTGCTCGGTAATTCTAGTGGTTTTTTTCCGTTATTCATCTACCTCTGTAGCCAACTGATATATTCAAGATAAATTATACACGCTGCCTTGAAAGATGCGACTCATTGAAAATCTGTAACGTTGATGAGGAATACTCCTCATGAGATATAGTTTTGGAAATTGATATCACCAAAATGTTCACGAAATGAAGTCTAATTTGTTTCCTTTGATTCCAGTGCAGTTTTTGTGATCGCTGTTGGCCAAGAAATGATGTTTAAATAATTTTCTTCTGCTCTTCAGAGTATATGATTTTGAGTAGTATTGTTTGGGGAATAAATCAAAATCGTCCTTGGAATAGGGAAGTGCAGGGGTAGGATCGACCAAATTCTAACACACTATATATACCAGGTGTCAAATTACTCATCAGACAAGCCATAGTTTTCAGAGTTCTGGAAGTCAGGGTCATCTCCATCAGTGAAACCGGATGGGAGATATGAAATATTGCGAAATTCTCCAATTACGACCAATGCCAAATTTGAATCTCATATCTTCGGAGCTCCACGAACTATGACTCTTGAAACTTTCCTGATATCTGCATTATATGTATAAAAATACAATATTGGAAATGGCCCTCATAAGGGGTGTTTTGAATCAATGTAACAATTTTTGAATGTTTGCATTTTTCAAATTAGCAAGTGTAGTAACTCTGATGAGAATTTGAATGATCATAGGCCTGTTAATAGTCATAGAGTGCCTCGAACATTTTATTTCACATAGGTTTGAGAGTATTTTCACGCTTGTCACTACTGACTTATCCGAATTGTCATCTTTCTCAAATTTAAATCTTCAGATCTGAAAATCAAATAGGTGTTCATGCGAAATCGAGTTCTCGAGTATGTACGGTAACGAATGGCATAAATTCTTGGAATGAAGATTTTCATTCAAATTCGAGTTGCCAAATGACGATCTGAGACTGAATTGTTTATTCTAGCTTGAAATTCCAATTCTCACTTCATGGAATTCAAGTGCCTTTGGTCATACGCCACTGTTGGATTTTGGAATTATTATTATTATCATTATATTTCAACAAGGGCAGAGGCAAAGCCCATTTTGCCCAATAGTTACTTGAACTTAAAATTAGTTACACCTATTATTGTGTCCAGTCCAATAAAGTTTTGATGATACACTAACTAATACCTAATTCAGTCATCACTATGATTGTTGCAATTGCAACAAGTCTTAACGGTTTTTGAAACTGTTTACACTGGGAGCTGACACAACATCAAGAGGTAATGCATTCCACTTTGAAATAACTCGATTCGATAGGAATTTTTGTCTGAGTGTGGTTAGAAAATTGTCTTGCTTCAACTTCATGGTGTGGCCTCTCGATCTATCATCGTTCTGTAGATGGAATGAGTTGGATAGGTCAACAGAGAAGTCATTATGCAGAATTCTATACGTCAAAATAGCGTCTCCTCGCTGAAATGAGTCTGCACTCGTTCAATGAAGGTAAACAGAAATATTATATTACACACCGAGGTGGGAAGTGATTCATTCCTGCCATGAGATCATTAAGTTAACCGAGACGCAAAGCGTCGAGGTTAGCTATAATGTCGAGGAAGGAATGGAACTTCTCACCAAGGTTTATATACTATTTTATTTAAAACCATCATATTTCGATCAAAATTAATAAATCTCAGTTTCCTCCTGGACATACCTGAAATATTACGTAAGTGAGGGCGGGAAGTGATAGCGGGAAGTAGTGAGGGGCGAGAAGTAAGGGCAAGAAATAGAGGTGTGTAATGAGACACTTCTCAACCTCCAATGACGTTAGTAATTACAATATTACATATATGGATATGAATAAAATGACATTCTATCTCTTATAGAACTTATTTTTGTCTCTTTTTTTTTGCTCAGGTGTGTTTCAGCATGAGGAGTGTGTCTACACTTTTATGAGGACGTGGAGTGAGATGTTCGAGGTACTGTAGGTTGTCTGGATTCGATTATCTGCCTACAGAATAGGATAAATAAATGAACGAATGAAATCACGAGAATCATTGTTAGCACATTGGCCTTTTTATTCACCACTTTTGAGTCTTGATTTTTTACTTATGGAGAAATATGGAAGAAGAGATCCATAAATTTAGGTCAAGAGATAGGAAAAGAGATACGGCAGAGGTTAATGATAGTTTGCAAAAAATATCACCAGATTTGAACCAGAATACAAGAATCTATACTTGTTAGGAATGGTTGTGAGATAGCTCTTTTCTCTCTTATCTCCCAGATGATATTTTTTCATAGGTATCATCCAGTTTTTTGGCACAGCCCTCATAAAGAGTTAACAGCAGACAAGTGTGTTTCTGGCTTCCGGCACTCATCATTATGGTTAATTCTTCATGATAGCTATGTATTATATTCTCTCCCTAGTAGTTAGGAACAGTGACTTCAATATTCCTGTCATGAAGGAAGGATTCGTGGACTTCATCATGTATACTTCGCTCCTATTGATAATATATTCAAGACCACTATCATAAAGTAAATGAAACGCTTTCTTTTTCGTCATAATTATCATGTTATTCAATAAGAATTGATGTTTCTGAGTAATTAACCAAGAAAAGATCATATCTGAGATTTCTGTAGCTATACGAAAACAATTATACTCACTTCAGAATACCGTAGAAACCCATTGTCATCTCCAGGACCTATCCCAGAGATTGGTGAATGAATGGTATGCTGAGAACTATTCTTCAGTGTAAATGATATCCCATAGAATGCTACACTCAAAACCATCTTATTTCTGGTGAGACCAGCATTCAACCAGTTATTGGCTGCCGAATGAACGCTCAGGTGGTTTTTTTCCCACTCATATTCGACAGAAGAAGGATACAAAGCATTGTGGTTGCCGGTGTATGAACTCCATGATCCATACATGTCGAATGTGTTGATGGTGATCCAGTCCAGGATCCTATGCAAAAAAGTTTAATACTTCATCAATTGGTTATCGTTGGAGAAATCTGAAGACTTGTGTAATATTTATTGCTCATTCAGTATTAAATGCCACGATCATAGGATGATTCATCATTAGGTACACGAGGACAAGGTAAGTTACGTTAAAAGCGAAGACGAGTGTCGTTAACTTTTTGCGAAAACTTCGAAATCGTAATTGAAGCCATAGAGTATTTATATTTTAATTCAATGTGAATACGATTCATCAAATCATACAGAGTTACGAAAACTCCATAAATATATTTCGATTTTTTTTTCAGAATAGTCATTTGTATTTCAAAAAGCATTAATTGAATTTCATAATAGTCTCAATTCAATTAGAGAAAACGTCAATTGTCTTTCAGAAAATATCTTTTGATTGATTTACAATTCTGGTAATGCTCCCAATTCACTCTTTCTCACTTACTTATTCATCTTTATCGCATCGTACCCAGTATCCTCAGGATCCGAGCGTACAGAGGCACTAAGCAACCAACCTTGTTTGTCGAACTCATTTCTGATCTTTCTGAGGAACGTAATGTAGTTTATTTTGTCGGATAATTTCGGATAGTACCAATCGATGTCGAGTCCATCAAACTTGTAGGTCCTGATGAAATGGCTTGCGCTGTTGATGAATGCTGCCGTTTTAGCTGCGTCAGCCGCAATATTCGAGAACAAACTGGCATTACTGGACTTGCTGCCCCCAACACTCAAAAGTACCTTCAGTCTCTTGTTTTTCACTTTGAGGTTTGTTATTCTTCGATAAAGACCACCTATAGAAATAGTTCGTATGGTATAACTGCAGTTTGATCAAATAACCCAAACATTATTCATCATGTTATTTTTATGTTGGAATAATTCCAGAAATGCAACCATTCCTCACCTTCATTGAATTCACCTAGATCAAGTGTTTCATCTTGCACTCTTAGATCCCCTGTTCCATTGATCCCTACATAATCATAAGTGATATGGGTGCAAAGACTAGGTTCAAAGTCTTCAGGATTCACTCCATGATATGACCACCAACTAGCATAAGTGCACATCACTTTCACTCCGGTTGTATCTACTACTATGGGATCTTTCATTGCATTTGCTGTAGATGATTTCGAATTGATCTCTTTCGGGGTTGGAGTTGATTCTGATTCTGTCCTTGGATAACATCCTAGATTATGATTTTCCCAGGATCCTCCGTTGCAGTAGTTTTTACCAGATGATATACCGCTTTTAGTTTTATAACCACCAGGACAACTATAAATAATGCTTGAACCAGAAACAGTGTCAGCACAATCGATGACTGTATTTTTATCGTCTTGGCAAGAAACTATCGTTCCTGGAGGAAAATTTGGAATCGGGCATAATGCTGAAATGATGAGTAGAAGCCAAAATGAATTAAAAATACAGAATTTCAACCACAGATTTCAGGGATAAAATTGGTGAAACAATGTTCAGATGAACATGGGTCCAGAAATGTTCTCCTGGAGGGTTGAAGTCATCTGCTAAAGAGCCAGAGATGATAGTTTCTTGTAATTATTTTCAGAAACCTCTGTGATTGAGTAATCAAATTCTGTACATGTACCTAACATTTCATGCCTATAATTCAAGAATGTTGAGAATTTCTTGAAATCTTGATCAGGAAAGGAAGAAATAGGAACTAGGGGCACTTCTTTTACCAACTTTCTGGTTTATACAATTATTGGGGGCAGTTTGACTAGAAAATGATTTTTCAATATTTTTTTCTCGAAAATGCTACTCTTGTTCATTTGCATTCATCACATTGTTGAATATAAAACTTCTTCTCAGGGTACGTATACCATATATTATTTTTCAAATGAATATTTTTATTGCACTCCTCATATTCCGAATCGAACATCAGAGGTAGATGTTGAGAAAAAGTATATATTCCATCACAACATAATTTTGTGAAAATCCGTTACCATTTTGAGGAAACGAAGCAAAATTTTGATATCGCTTTATCTCGAGAATGTCAAAAGCTATGGGAACTCAACGAATGCATCATTTCAGAGTGACAATCACGATATTTTCATATTATCTGGTGAGTTTTCCAGAAATTACTTGAACGAAGCAGTTGGCGGAAAAAGTGCTCCTGCCTCCACCTGTTTTGCACGCTCCTAATGAAGATCTCGTGAACATCTCCAAATCAGCTATAATAGATCATGAACATGTAGCAGATCTGGCAAATTCATCACGAAGGGATCCAAAATTATTCACATGAATCCATCTTCTTGAACTCTGTTTTAGATCCCTATAACCTCTCAGAGGAAGGGCTTCGCGAGACCAAGACCAAAATCTTCCCAAGACTTAGATCAAGACTGAGTTCTCGAGACCAAGATAAATACCAAAGCTCTCTCCCAAGAGCCTTATTGGTCTTGGTCATGAAAGAAAAGTAATAAACTCAAATCTGATCAATATTAAGAAAAATCTGATGAAGAATGTAATGTCATTTCATTTCAGTTATTCATTTGTCATATGACAGGCTCTTGAATTTTTGTTTTCTCAAAATCTGAAATACAGTTTTTATTTTCAGTATTGCAGTTTCAAAGCTTACTAAAAATTGGTGCATGTTGTGAGGTCACAGTGGTCCATACCTCCTCCTATTGGAAATAGAAACGAAATCAATACAAAAGTTATTGGAAATAAAAACGAAATCAATACAAAAGTTATTTGGTTTGAATTTGGAATTTTTTGAAATATCTTGATGATGCGTTGTTATCAGTTTCGCCCCTTTGCCCTATGGAACCATTTTTCCTGGCCTGTCGTGCGTTGGTCTGTTTGCTGTTTGAGTCCCATCCAATGTTTATTCATTGATTCTTATTGGAAATGATATTCTTATGGTGAAAGGAAAAATTCATTCCGCTTACTTGATACGCACAAATTGACAATTTCGGAGTCTGAGAAATATGAAATACCTATTATATGGATATATTTCTTTAAATATTTGAATTGAATGATTCAAATTTCTAGACGCATTTTGATCCAAGACCAAGACCATCAAGACCAATACCAGGAGCAAGACTACATTTCCTTTCTTCAAGACCATGACTGAAACTGATCAGTCTTGGTCTTGGTCTTGATCTCGAGAAGCCGTACTCAGAGTAGCGTTTCTAGACCCATGTTTGAATGAATTATTTTGCACTATCTTCGTTCCTATAATCTGTGATTTCTTTGTGAATATGGAACACCCTGTATAATTGCTCATAACCCACTCACAATGACAAACAGGAAGCTGCAACATAGATGAACAGTAATACTTAGGATTCTTTGAAGACAATTTGTAACCTTTGTTACAAGAGAACTCAAGTATAGTATCAGAAGTTGAAATGTCTCCAGGTCCCATTCCACTGTCGTTCTCCAGTCTCCATATACCATTATTAGGATATGAGGGAAGAGTACATTCCTCAACATAGCTCATCTTCCGTTTCTTGTCCAACCATTGGTAATATTTGGAAACTTTCGTGAATAATGCATTATTCTGACTATTACATGATGCATATTGGACTGCTGGTGCAATGCTCACTAAACCATGGACGTAGTATCTGTTGTCATCTGGATTTCGGAATACTAGACCACTGCCACTGTCTCCCCTACATACGCTTTTGTTTTTTCCCAAGAAACCACCACAAATCTTATCATCGAAATTGTATCGATCAGCCCAGTCATATGGTAGCTCATTTGCGCAAGTTGTTTGATCTTTATATGGAATTATCAGGGTTCTCAGGTGGTCAGCAACTGTGTTATTTTCGGTGATACCCCAAGCCGCGATCTCAAATCAAATAAATACAATGAGAGCATTATTGTAATAAAATACTTGTATCTTACTAACTTCCCCACTATTTCCTGCATGTAGGTGAATACCATTTATATTATCTATACAAACTGGTTGAACAGCTGGTCCAAGCTTGAATAAGCTTCTGGTGATGATCAGAGCGATGTCATACTGATAATGCCGAGTAGTTCCCCTGAACTCTTCGTGTACTATTATTCCAGAAATCTATAAAGCCTCAATAAGGAAAGATTCGAGAAATGTGAAGGGGTTCGTATTTGTACCTCTAGATATTGTACATGTTTATCTCTAGCATCACCATACTTATTGTAATATTTTCCAGCAGCAACCTGAATTTCACTCTCATTGAAGGCTTGTGCATAGCTGTTGGTAACGCAATGTGCAGCTGAAAATAAATAATGGAACTAACTCCTGCACGGTCCGACCGCTCACTAATTTCTAAAGATAATAATCGCATACCAAAAATATTAAATAAAATTGGTTTGCATCAACTTATACCTGTCTGCAGAGATGAAAGGACAGAGTATAGGCAGAAGCTGTTCTATAACTTAATCAAATTCAGCCTTTGTGTCAGTTCTAGAAATGATCCAAAATATGAATACGTGTGAGGAAGCAAACTGCCTATTCCTATATCTAGTATATTGTTTAACAAGCCCGAAATTATGGTCATTCCTCACGAGAATAAGTGCTGCAAATGATATGAGCGAGAATCTAGCAATAAGCATTCCGTTCGTGTAAGAAACTATACTTTTTCCACGGCTGTAACAGATTACAGGGATTACAGCGGGATTTTTGATTTTTTCAGCTTGTATCCATCTATCTGATTTCCTCTCATGTATTAACTTATCTATTAGACAGAGTTGTCATTGCTGGAAATTTGACCTTTCCATCAGGAAGATGAGATCTTGTGGAATAATAACACAATGAAGTCATTGTGATATCAGTTGAGAAAATAAAATAGATAACAAACAAAGCACATCACTGGTCTATCGAACACATTGAAACAAAAACAATTTTGTGTTATTGCCGCGAAAAATAACATATTCACTAATCTTCAGGTACGAATGCGTGTTCTCTCTTGTTTCTCCTAATCAACCAACTTGTCAGAATCAATCCAAGAGGTATTTGAATATTACACATCTGTCGGACCAGACCCAAACTAAACATTGAACAATTATTATACATATGAACTAGTAAAACCATTTTCTCAGTAGAAAACTTATTCATCTAGGTACTCACTGAATCGAAGGTAGGCTTTTTTTTTCTTATTCAAGGGAACAAAGTTGTTAATTCACTTCTACGGAAGGAATCAAATATTAACTCCCGTGGTAAGAAAAATAAATTGGCATCAGCATGCATCTTTTGCCGTCGATATACCCATGAAATCTGTGCAATCCAATTTTCAATTGTATTTATCGCTATTATGAATCAAGTCGAGATCATTTCCTCTTTCGATTCTAATGATATTATAGGCCTCTTCATATTCTGAACGTACTTCAAATCGAAACTTGCAAGTGTCAAATGGACTTTCGTTCGAATGGCGTCAATTGTTCATGGCATACCATATACCTTTGTAATGCATAATGATTGGGATCGAGAGATAGACCGCCTGAAGCACGGTTTCAAGAATGATGGTTCAAAAGAAATGCGTTCGTTGATGAGATCATATGTATATCATGAAAGCTCATATTAATTTCCTCCCATGTGTGTTAAATGTCCTATGCTTTGCATCGTTCACACGCAGGAAGGAATGCATCGAATACCTCTCCTTCCTTTATATACAAAATAGCTATTATGACTTTCTTACTCACCAGTGAGAACCATCCGGGTAGATATCAGCGTACCCCCACAGTTATTGATGAATTGTCCATTATTTTTAATGAATATAGCTACAATCCAAGGATATTCCAGTTCGGTGGTGTCTACACCATTGAATATCAGTGGAGTTAAGTTGGTGTCGATTTTTTTTCCACAAACTGTAAAGTGATGATACATTATGATGGTGTCAATCTATTCAATCTCAGAGTGTTACCCACTGTGAAGGCAAGAAGTTTATCATGAAATTCTGATGATCATGAAATTATTTGAAGTTTATTTTACTTACTATGAGACAACGTTATATTCTACCAACCTTATTGATAAATACCTGCTCAAGTGATGAGCGTCTATATTCAGACGACGTGCAGTTCTGAACAACTAAGTATTCGAACTGATTTATAATTCAAAATGGATATATTTCTGAAAATTTGTCAGTTAACAGACAGTCTGAATTTCAACATCATGAAACTTCATCAGTATATACATATCGTCCAATCAAAAGGTGTTCAATAGTGCTCGTCTCGTAACTTGAATCAGCTAGAAATTTCAATAGAATCATATGTTTATTCATAGGCGTCCGGAAGCGAGTCTTGAGTTTTCAGGACCGGCTCAGATCAAAATGTGCAAACATCTGACAATTTCTGGAAATTTCCTGGTTTTCTGATCATATCTTGCAAACGACTCACCAGGCGAAAAATATCATCGTATTCCAAGTTGAAGAGCATACGATTTTGCGTTGGAGGTTTCCTCCATCTTCCTTATTTAAAGATATATAAAGTCACTATCGTCATTCGAAAAGTGTCAGAATTTACTACGCAGAAGATTTCAGGAATCGATGTATTTCGAAACTCTATAAACAAGAGAACCTACCATTTATGAGTAATAATTTCCAGATTTCCGTATTTCTTGAGTACACTGCCAACAATTTCATTTCCAACAATTCCATGAACACAAAAATTGGTTTGAAGAGTGCCCCTAATCCCACCTATTCCTCATGCCCCTGATAAAGATTTCGAAATATTCTTACGATTTTCAAATCGGGAATGAAAAGTGTGGAATATGTGAATAATTTCGTTGTTATCTCAAGCTCTCTTTCAGTTGGCTATAACCCCCTAGGAAAAAGAGGCCATTTCTTAACCCATATTTATATGAATTTTGTTACTATTCTCATCCCTAGAATCAGTGATTAACATATTTCTATTTAATTTCGGAAAACCCTGTATATTGGTCTCAGTACGAATTTTGTATGCCCACTCAACTCAAAATTGAATGCATCATGACATGTATTCTATTTCCTATTTTTCAAGTCATTCACGTGAAGTAGATAGGTGTTTTCAAATCACAGTCGTCTAGGAAAAGAGTATTTCATTGCTCAAAAATTGATGAAAACTGCCTTTTCCAAATGACGATAGTGACCTTATGAATCAAGAGATGAGAACGATGGAATCAAAATTCGGCGCAGAATTTTATGCTCATTAACTTGGAATACCATCATATTTTCAGTTCAGTAAGTCGTTTGCAAGATATGAGCTGAAAAACGAAAAAACTCCAAAAATTTTTATGCTTTCCGCGTTTTTCGAGCTGAGCCGGTCCTGCTACGAGGCAGCAAACACCAGAATCGCTTATGAGCCCCTCAAAACATATGATCTTGTTGAGAAACCTACTACTAAATTCATGTTCTTGAAAAAATATCATCTGATCGGACTATATTAGGTAATCGTGGAGTCATCATCTGATATGTTCAATTCCATACAAGAACACTTGTTGATTAACAGTATACAACAAGCAATATTATGTTCGAATGCCGATTGACTTATCACATCGATACTTTTATAGAATTGGATAATCACGGCAGAGAATACCTGAATAAATGTTTTGTGATCTGATGGGGCCAGTGAATGATGAATTTATTGTGAGCATTGTATTATGTTTATGTTTGCTAGGTTCCTTTATATGAATAGATTTCAGAGATCGAGGGTAGAAATTATTTATGCAATGATTTCGATTATCATTGAACAATTTGTTTAATCCCGTAAACAAAAAGTCGATAGCGTACGTCCCGGACGTTCAGACATCTGAATGGGACCTAAACTGGATGTCCCCAGGACGTCAAGTGCTATATGGGATCAAGTTCCACCCAGTATAAAAAAAAGTTAAATTCACCTGGTTGACAAATAGGTTGTGAGTCCCATGTTCCATGGCTGCAATATAGACTTTGTTGCCTACCTAAAGTCTCATAATACTGAATACACTGATATGTGAGATATGTTCCATCAGTTGGCTCGGTGCAACTGATTTTATTTCCAGTTACATCTTGACATACTACACTCAAGATAGGTGTTGAGTATATTGGAGGACATAGTTCTGTAATAGTAATTTATCAACTTATCAATATGTAATATGGAATATTACGACACTTATTTCAGTTTCATAATGGGATACTTCACCGCACCATCGCTGAAAAGGGTTTCATTACCGCACTAGTGCAGTGAAGTATGAGTAGATAATTGCAAATTTGAGTTTGCAGAGACAAGGACGAATTAGAGTTGATTGACCATAAATATAGGCAGTATTATAATCAATCTATAACCTTAATATTCATCAATACTTTCGTGATCGGAATTCATGTCAATATTTTTTTTCTCAGATTTGAATATATGCGTCTTAGTTGATAGTTCGCAAAATTAGTGACAACCGGGAACAAAATAGATTCAAGAGAGCTAAACTGCCCCACATTTCGAGTGGGACAAGCAAACATTTCTATCATTTTCGAACTTTGAACTTCAGAACTCTGATTTGGATCAGCCAATTCTTTATTCCTTTCTAGATTTCAAAAGTCATTTCATTGAGTACAACTTCAGTACTGTTCCACCTTCCCGACATTATGACCTACAGGGTGATATCTGAATATGTTATAATCTTCGAAAAGTTTGGGATCGCTCTGATTCACAGGGAATTTTCAAAATGTTTTATTGAGAGCTTCAAAATGAAGGATAACAAGTGGATTTTGATTTCAGAAATATCAACTATGATCGTTAAATATTCAGTATTCTTGGTCCTTTGTGGAATATTGGATTATATTAGTATCGTAAATTCATATTAAAGATATCCGATTATATCTAAATATGAATTTTCACAATACTTGTATCGTGAATATCTATCACGTGATCAGTTCCTATAGTGATATTTTACGGGATCGGTAGCAATTTTTTCAAGGACGAGCCGTAGATGAGTCTTGGTAACCTGTCACGTATATTGATTTTTCTGTACCTATTTTCTGATCTACAAAGCACCCAGCGAGCACAAATACATCTCAGAGATGTTAAAAGTACGAGATGTTGAGACATAGAACCTCCACTGCGATGTTCTGTTCATACAGAAATAGAACTTTCATAGAACAACCTATGTCCGCCGCCGGCGGCGTTTATAAAGATATACTTGGAATATGTCACAAAAATACATTTTCCCTGGTTTTTTTGATAGACTTTTAATGGACATAACATAACCTTTCCCAAGCGTTTTGCGCACATTCATTCGCTGCAAATGAAACATTCCTGGTGGATATATATTTAAGAAGAAAAGAATAAAATTAAAAAAAAGCTCTTCCTTGCTGGGGATTCGAACTCAGGCTGTGTCGAGTCAGTCGTTGAACCACAATGGTGATACCAGAATGGTCGATGTTTGACTCGACCCCCATCAAAAGTTAACGTGGTAACTGTGTGGGCAGGTTTGAAACGTGACCGGTATGCCCAAACAGCTGATTGGCCAGACTGATGGTCAGACTTCAAACTGAACGTATGTGCCCGGTCAAACCACAGACTTGACACAACCTCACTCTATAGAGATTGAATTTTTACAATCCTAGCACCTTGTCCCGTGAGCCAGGGGAACCGTATTGATGAATGATATGAATAGAAAGATGTCAACATGCACTTAGTAAGATAATAATTATTAGCATTGAGGCTGAGAATAAGGGCGAGTCAGAAGAAACATTATAAATATTGATACAAGAATAACATCCATATCATATTTCGATACGATTCTGTATGTTGAATTGAATGTTCATGGAATATTTGTTGCCAGGATGAACATATTATTCTATGATCATTCCGAGCAGAACAGAACACGTTCTCAGAATATTATTCGTAATGTATATTCTGGTGCTGTTTGGGATACTATTACGAATTATGGAGGTCGTTGGTATTATAATTAATATCTAATGGAATGAATGAAAAGGACACTGCAAATGCGAATGCGAACAAGAACAACATGCAAAATCGAAAAAAATTAGAATTCATCGTATTGTGACGTGAGCATTGTGGTGGGCCAAACAAAGAAATGGCTAAGAAGAACAAAAACAATAGAATAGAATAGAATAGAATAGAATAAAATATTTATTTCACCAATTTACAAATCTTATGTTTTTGGCAATTCAGGTACAAAGGACATATTAAATGTAGTAGATAAGAAAAAACACATCTCTGGCAAATAAAACAGACTTTTACAGTGACATGTACCACATATAAAACAATAATTCGTGAGGACTTATTTTTCTTCTTCAATTCACAAAAGGAGAGAAAAACAAAATTGGAATTGTAACTTGCAAAGCAAATATGAGCTGTATGAACGATGTTTTTTTTTCAGTTGTTTTCATAGAGAGAATGATGAATCTGGTGAAGATAAGTATTCCTCAACAGAGTAGTAACATAATCTCAGAAAGTGGTCCTTGATGACTTTTTTGAAATATTTGAGGTCAAGGTTGCCACATATTTAGGTAATTTGTTAAACAAATTCAAATTCAAAGAATTACTTTCGGATACTTCTAGTCGATATCTTTGTGGTCTCAACTTGTCAGAATCCCTCGTTGCATAATCATGGAAATCGGAATGCACGATAAATTTATCAAAGTTTTTGTGTATCTCTAAGAGAGATTGAAATATGTATAAAGATGGAAATGAAAATATCTTGAGTTTTATGAAAAGTTCTCGACATGGGGTATTATAATATATTCTATTATAATAATTTCAATATCCTTGAAAGACTTCTTTGGGAAGTTATATTACGTCTCAAAAAACATCCGCTTGCCAATATTTTTAAAAGATCCCAAAACATCCCACCCAGGTAGCACATGGCGACTATACGACGTCTAAAAGATGGCATCACATTCGGCCAAAAGACGTCTTTAATACTATCCAAACTGACGTCTAAATGACGTAAGTAATTCACAGCTAAATGACGTCACTTTTTAGGTCTTTTGGACGCCAATGCGGTCTTCAATTATGACTTGGAATTGACTAGTTTAGGACGTCATAGCATCGTCTAATTCTCAAAAAGTAGACGTCATAGCGACGTCTATTTTTCGAAAAATATAAAAATCAAATATATTCAAAATACCTCATGAATGTATGAAAAAAAATTGAACTGTTTGCCTGATCCTTAAATTGCGGCCAAACCACTTCGGTTTTCATCGGAGTCAACTGCCCAGACAGCACCAGATATTCCATGAATCTCCCGATCATATTTCCTTTTGGAATATTGGAATCTACTAGGGATAATCTGAAATATTCCGGAATAACTTTGGAATATTCTCTGAATATGCGAATGAGAATTCCTTAAATATTCATAGAATATATCCAAAAGAATATTCTATGTTGAATGTTCCTGGAATATTCCAATAAACATATTCTGAAATTAAAAAAAGTTACCCAAGTAGGGATCGAACTCGTGACCTCAAGACTATCACTTTAAATCATTTATTTGTCATCATAAATTTTACATCACTTCGCAAATTACAAACACATATAGATATTCAAGACTATCAGAGCAACGCCTTGACCACTAGGCCAGTAATCGAATAGAATAATGTTGTACATATCAATTTCTTGTGAGAAAGTTGTTCGAAATTGGATCATAAACACTTTTTGTTTCAAAATCCCCTTACATCTAATTGATGTTTGATACTCACATCTCTGAAATAATGATATTGGTATCTATGTGTTGGGGAACATAGGAATATTCATGAAATATTTCATTAATATACACCACAGAATATTCAGTTGAGAATATTTCATGAATATATCGCACAGAATATTCAGTTGAGATTATTTCATGAATATACCCCACAGAACATTCAGTTGGGAATATTTCATAAATATACAACAGAGAATATTCAGTTGGGAATAGTCCTGGAAAATTCATACCTGAATATTCCCTGAACATATCCGACTATTCAGTTTGGAATATCCATTTTAGATGTTCCAGAGGCATGTATATATTCTAGGAATAATCGATGAATATTCGGAATATACTCCTCCTTTTAAGCATATTTAGAGAATATTCTAGGAATATCCAGTGCTGTCTGGCCACGATTCATGGACAACAGCCATGATGTTATTTCCACTTTCATCGAATTGAATTAACGAATACATCATAAAAAAGATAATGATTCAATCAAAACCATTAAAATTAAACACCATATTTCATGAGGAACCACGATATCGATGCCCAACTCAAGCTTTGTTTAATGCTGGGCGATTTTGGCTTTTGCTATGAAACGTGTAAAGTTATTATTGGTCGATGTGGCTACCCAATTCGAATTGAACAATAATAACATCACCAAGTTCCATCGCTAGCATCAGCATCGCCAAAGCCAAATCACCCAGCAAGAAACCAAGCTTCACTCTTCTCGTGAATGCAGGCACGCAAAACCACCACGAAACGAAAACGAACCACAACCCACAACAAAATTCCAATGTGATGGCGTGATGATGTGATGCGCATGCGCGATGGCTGCGATGGCCAGCTACCGGGTGCAGTGTTGCCAAGTATCCCATACACTAACTGGAAAATATAGATTACTCTTGGATTTCACTCCATGGCGAAAAAGTACATTTCACGAGTTCTGAAGACCACATTTTGACGTCCATAAGACGTCTAGAAGTTGCTGTCCACGTGACGTCAGGAAATAGACGTCTTTTTGACGTCATGATTTGATCAAATGACGAAAGGGACCATTTTCGTCAGTGTGGCTACCTGGGCAGGGACACCTCTCAGTAGGCACACAAAGAAATGCCACAGAAGAACAAAAACAATACTTAAATATCTTACGAAGACCTCTTTGGGAAGTTATGTTTCGTCTCAAAAATACATCCTCATGCCAATATTTTCAAAACATCCCAAAACATCCCAGGGATACCTCTCAGTAGACACACAAAGAAATGCCACAGAAGAACAAAAACAATACTTCAATATCCTTCAAAGACCTCTTTGGGAAGTCATATAACGTCTCAAAAATACATCCTCATGCCAACATTTTCAAAACATCACAAAACATCCCAGGGATGTTTGTGCTCGCTGGGCAAAAACTGACACATAAATATCAAATGACAAGTACTGTCATGATGAAATCCAAGTTCATGGTACTGTCAAATTTGCATAATATACATTAATTCCCAAAATTGTTCCACAGTAGGAAAGTCAATAAGCCATTGCGAAATTGAGAAAAATTGTCCCGAAAAAAGCTAGTATTGGTACCAATTGTGTTCAGTGCTACTTTCGATTCAAAAACACATTTTTTTATGTACCAACGACGAGACTCTGTCTATCATATTCAAGTCTGCAAGTTAATAGCCCAGGCCTCAACCAAGACTAGCAATCATGTGAGACAAAAGAAAGTTTTTCGCCGAGGTGCATATTATTATTATTATTTTCGTCGACCTCAAATACGGTCCTATTCACACTATCGGATCCCATGATGAATCGATTTGACAACAGCAAATGACAGATGTTGTCTACTCACTATATCTGCGCAGACCAGGGATGCCAGTTCGATTTTCATTCCATCGTTTAATACCTCGTCAAAAATTCAGATCTATTTTATGCTATACGAACTGCAACATCTAAGAAAAGATAGTGAAATGAACCTATGACGTCAAGACATTATGTACATCTAGTAAACAGAAAAGTTACCTATCTTCAACAAAAAAGGAAGAAACACAACGAACATTCTCATAAAAAAATGATCATAATCCTTATTCCTGATTCAAGAATACTCACAAATACAAATACAGAAATACAAATGAGATTTGATTACATAGAAGGCAAGAACGAAAAGTGAAAATAAAAAACAAATATTGAAATAAACGTGAGAAACAAACAGTTATAACAGCGGTGTACAAAATATTCAATTTGATCTCAATTAGATGAAGTATTTCCCTTCTTTGGATTTAACAATAATTTGTGAATTTATATCACTCATTTTGTTGAATCAATTCAAACAGAGCGAGACGAAATATCATGCAAATTATATAAGTACATCTGAATAACTTGAAATTGACTATTATATTGGTTATCGTAATGATGAAAAAGTTTCTAAGTATTTTTCAGTATTTTATACGAGGTATTTTATCAAATGTTTCAGTAGATCAGTAGATCAATATGCATATCAGGAGATATACTGAAAATTCAGTGAAACTGGCAACCCTGCAGCGGACACAAAGTGTTAACAGACGAGGAGTTAGTGTCTGCGAACGAAAAGTAACTACTTCCGGAAATAGTCGGTTTTTCGTTCGGAAATGATAACGTAATATGTGATTTTTTTCAGAGGTCGACTAAAAAAATATATTCGTGATTATTGATAATTGTTTCAATTCGTTGTAAGTATCTCACTTGAACATTTTGGCATCAATTGAGGACTCCAATGATTCTCATCGCATACTTGATATGGTAGGTTAGGGGTCAGCTGATATTCTTGATTGCATTCGAACTTGATGGGTACGCCTCCTTTTATCTCATCTCCTGGTTTTCCTAATGCATTCAAAACGGTCCATTTTCCATTATCCGGATATGGTGGGAGAGTACATCTAAATCTATGGAAGTGTCCTAATGATTCGTGGTATCAGTAAGGTACTTATTGATTTGTTCCTTACCCTTCAGACTCTCTGTTATTCGTTTCGATACTCGCATTTGGAACCTTGAGTGAATAAGTATTATCTACAATTCATGTTTGAATAATTCACTCGTTAATATTCATGATGATGCACGGAGAAATCATTCAATGGTTTCATGCAAAACTCACCAAAAACAATGATACAAAGAAATACATTCGAAATATGGACGAAGAATTTAATTCTCTCCATTTCGTTTCCACGACGTATTCTTCTACTGCATATCGAGAAATATTATCGAATCATATCAGTGCTTGAGAGCATACTGAAATTATCATAAGAAGACAGACAGTTCATCATCCAAACAAATTTGATTTTATTATAACAAGTTAGAGGCCAACTAGTATCTCACTGGCCTTCGAAGGCATTCAACTGATTTTCAGTATACTTATCGGCAGCACATGAAATTTCTCATCGGTAACAAAAAAGTAATCAGTGACGTTGGTTCAATCATGTTAAAAACTCGCATCATTCGATTTTTCAACACCAAGGAGTCAATATTCTCGCAAGTCAGATTTTTCGAGGTGGAATGAAAAATGATCCTGAATATTCATCGGAGAACGGTTCAGGTCATTGAAAAAACGATACTTTTGCTGAACATTGCTGAAACCGAAAGCGAATAAATTCACTTTTTTTTTGATCACACTGAGGAAATCTTTCGCCCAATCAGAGTTGATACAGTATAACCAGAGACGTGCTCTTAGGGTGAGCACATCAATTTATTCGAATGTTCGATTTTTTTCAGATCGTAACAAAAAACTCATTATACAATTCTTTCAATGTGAATTCTTCCCTATCAACCTTCGATTTGGAGGAAAAAATTAAAACCAAATTTATGCATGTTGAAGATCCCGTTCAGAGATAATTAGACTGAAGATGATAGAATAGTTTGAAAATATGATACGAAGAGTTCATATTTCTTGAATTGACCCAGCCGTTACTTGATGGAAATCCATGAAAAATGTAAAAACTTCACAAACGATAAGATTTCCACAAAATTCTCAAACACACGTTTATAGGTAGACAGGTAACTGATCCTTCAGGTTGGGAGAGAGTGAGCTATATAAAAGTTAAGCAAGCCAACGTTAGTTTAGTTCATTGTATCAGTATATCACCTGACGAAGCTACTGTGTTAGCGAAACTTGTCGTGTGTTTGAGAATTTTGTGAAAATCTTATCGTTTGTGAAGTTTTTACAATAGAAGAGTTCATATTAATGCAATAGGTAGTTGTGACATTTTTATGATTTATTGTTCAATAAGAGAACAACATTCGATTCATATAGAGGAAGCCGCTGCATAAGGAATCGTTTCCTCATTCCAAGCAAGAAGCTACTTCAATTCACCAAGAGCTTCATATCTTTTACTGATCAGGCGTGTTTCAGGATAATGTTATTGTATATATGGATTTGTCAAAAGCATATGATACACTAGATCATACAATAATGCTAAATGAATTAGAACAATATGGAGTGAGAGGAAATGCTTTATTGTGGTTTGAGTCCTACCTTTCAAATAGACAACAAAAAGTTTCATTAATGAAAAATAATCTGGAAATAAGATCTAACATGAAATCTATTAAAATGGGCATCCCTCAAGGAAGCATCACTAGACCAATCTAATTCATAATTTACGTAAATGATCTTGCTGATATTGCAGCAACAGTTGAAAATAGTTCTCTTGCCATGTACGCAAATGATGCGAATTTCCAACTATATGATCCACTTCAACACGGTTTAATTGAATCCGCAGAATTAGTTTTAACAGCAGCCAATGAGTGCTTTGATGAAAATAGACTGATACTTGATAAAGAAAAAACGAGTTGTATATTGTTTAAAACAACACATACACGATTCCAAACACCTGAAAGTATAGACATGAATAATAGAAAGTATGATACAATAACATCAACCAAATTTCTAGGTGTTGTTATAGACTAAAATTTGAAATGGAATTATTATATTGAGAAACTATGTAATAAACTGAATAGTGTGACCTATAGTTTGAGAATTATGGCAAAATACCTGAACAACCCAACATTGAAGATTGTGTATTATGCACAATTTGAAGCAGTGTTAAGATATGGGATTATTTTTTTCGGTAGCAGTGGTGAATTCAAAAAGTTATTCACAATCCAGAAACGAGCTGTTAGAATAATATTAAATTTGGATTTTTTAGAAACGTGTAGAAGAAAATTTGAACAAAATAGAATTCTAACAGCTAGTGCAATATTTATACAAGACTGTTAACTATTCTTCTTCTAAAATAAACATTTTTTCAATGATTGTCTTTCACAACATACATATGGTATTGAATCCGTAATGTATAACTATTCTGCACACAGACTTACACTCACAGAAAAGAGTACAAAATACTGCTGCTCAAGATTTTTTATGAAGCTGCCTCGTGAGGTGCAAGAAATACAAACACTTGACATCTTAAGGAAAACAATTTTCAATTTATTAATGAAAATAGAGCCTTATACTGTAGATGATTTCATATCAGCACAACTATAATAGTATAATGCCATAATTATGTTATTCTATCTGTATTCCATACATTTTCATAAAATCTATGTTATTTAAATGTTGTACATGTGAAATACACGATTTTGTATAATGTAAATATTAGGTACACGTCCTGTCAAATGTACCATTCTGTGACGTTTTTTCATTTAATCTTTTGTGTTAAATTTCATTTATTGCATAACATTCCTTGAAATAAAGATTGTTATTATTATTATTATTATTATTATTATTATTATTATTATTATTATTATTATTATTATTATTATTATTATTATTATTATTATTATTATTATCATTATTATCATTATTATTATTATTATTATTATTATTATTATTATTATTATTATTATTTTGAGTTTATATGATTCCAGTCACGACCCTGCGGCCTCCGACGTCACGCAGATTCGTGCTGGATAAAATCCAGTGACTACTCCTCACAGCCTGTGAGTTGAGTATTCACTGGGACCAAGTACCGTGTGCCCTGAGTAGACGCAATGATCCTAGTATGACGGCCTTCTGCATTCCACCAGCCAGGATGTGTGCCTTATCACGGCACGCTGGGATTTTCTGGATCTCCGAGAGCAGCGTGTGTCGTGTGCCTCCTAGGAAGCCGATTATCAGGATAACCAATTCCACAGAATGGTCTGGATAGAGCCGGCGGAGTTCGAAGAGAAGATCTCGATATTTAGTCCGTTTTTCCTCCTCCTTCAAAACGATGTTCGTTTCGGCTGGCGCCGAAAACTCGATCACGAACATCGCTTTGGTTTGATGGTCGAGGAGGACTACATCAGGCTTGTTAGCTTGTATCTGCCTGAGGGTGGGGAATGAGAAGTTCCAATAAATTCGGCACCTCTCATTCTCCACAACGGACTCAATATCTCCCGGAGCATAGGGCAGCACTGAGGTCTCGTCTATTCCGTACGAGTGCCTCAAATAGTAGTAGAGCACTCGCAATGCCGCATTGTGTCTATGGATATAGGCCGAGACTACATACACCGTGCAAGAAGACAGCAGGTGCATAATTGTCTCGGGCGCCCTGCGGCAGGCCCTGCAACTTGTGTCAGGGACCTCCATACCCATGACACGGCTACGGTAGACGAGAGTGTTGAAAACCCCATCCTGGCATGCCATGATGAACCCCTCTGTTTCCGATTTGAGCCCGCCTGACTTCAGAAAAGCAAAAGTCAGTTCTTTGGATAAGCCCCGGTCTTCAATGGTCTTGAAGTAGACCGAATGCATGGGCTTATCCATGTGAAGCTGCAGGAGCTTTTTCACTTCTGCAGCTTTGATGCGGGCTTTTCTCCGAGCGGGTTCTAGCTCAGTAACTGAGTCCTGAGCCTCGCGCTCGGAGTCGAAAATCAGAGACAATTCATCGGCTGCTCGACGTGCTGCCCTGAAAAGAAAAGCTCCTACTCCTGCCTCTTCATGGGTTTTAACCATTTGCAGAAGGGGATCCGAACTCCTGATGACTTTGCAGGCGCCATCCAGAACCATTCTGTTATGGAGATACTCCAAGCTCAAGAGTCCACGGCCACCCTGGTCTCTAGGTATGTATAACCGTGAAACGGACGAATTTGGATGCAGACTCCTATGGAGATGCATCATCTTGCGAGTACTTACGTCAAGTTGTCGCAGCTCGACTTGAGTCCACTTTATCACTCCAAATGAGTAAAGTAGGATCGGAACAGCAAGCATGTTAGTCGCAGCGACTTTGTTCTTCCCCGACAGTTCTGACGACCAGATCTGTCGGAGCCGCTGTCGATACTTGCTGCGGAGAGCGTCTTTTACCCGTTGTGCCTCCTGGATGTGAGTTTCCTCTACACCCAGGTAGGTGTACGTCTCTCCGGCATCCAGGTGGTGTAGGATGCTTCCGTCCACGAGCTTCGCGTCCTTGTCGTAGTTCTCGCATCGTCCTCTCTTGAGATGAACTAGTGCACATTTGTCCATCCCGAATTCCATTCCAATTGCCTGCGTGTACTCCTGCACCACCCTGAGGGATTGGTCCATATCCCTCTCACCAGAGGCATAAAGTTTGAGGTCATCCACAAAGAATAAGTGGGTGACTTTATGCCTCCGGTAACTGGGTGGGCCGCAGTTGTATCCTCTGGTTTTGCGGAGCTCAACGGATAGTGGCAGAAGTGAGATGCAGAATAGGAGAGGGCTAAGGGAGTCTCCTTGAAATACTCCTCTTCTTATGATAACTGGCTCTGTCTGAACTCTCGCATTACCTGATGTTATAGTAAAGCGGGTCTTCCAGACCAGCATCAGTTGTTCTATGCATCTCACTATAGAATCGGGTACCGAAAGACATTTGAGCAAGTACACGAGTAACTCATGTGACGTTGTGTCAAATGCTTTTCGGTAATCGATCCAGGCCACAGAAAGATTCCGCTTGTACTGCACAGAGTCCTGTGTAATAGATCTATCTATCAACAGGTTCTCCTTGCAGCCAGCGACACCTTTCTTCGACCCACGCTGCTCAAAAATCCGTTGGTAAACCGGATCAACTACTAGGAGTACTCGCATGTACAAGATGCGTGTGAACAACTTGTAACATGCATTCAGGCAGGTAATTGGTCTGTAATTCTTCGGATTGGACAAATCTCCAGTCTTAGGGAGAAGCACGGTTCGCCCCTCGATGAACCACTCAGGGATTTGCTGCTCCCCATTCAGCCAGCTATTGAATATCCTGGCTAAATGGTGGTGGGTAGAGGGAAACTTTTTCCACCAGAAGTTATTGATCCCATCGGGACCAGGAGCAGCGAAGTTCTTGGAGCCTTTGAGGGCTTCTCGAACCTCCTCAGTGGTTATCGGTTGGCGCAGTAATGCGGGCTCAGGCTCTCGGTATCTTCCGCAGAAGGTACCGAACTGCGCCAGGGCTGGAGTATCCCTGTTGAATGGATGCCTCACCTCGTAAATACTCTTCCAGAAGGTTTCCACCTGATCAGCAGTCGGCGGATTGTCAACCACACTTGGAGGCGGTTGGAATAAGCGAGAGGGCTTTTCGCGAAATTGTTTATTTTCCGCCAGCCCTCTCGCTCGCCTCTTTAGTGACTGTTTTGCAGCCACTAACATCCGTATCCTTTCGAGGCAGTGCTGTTTGATGGTGGATAGCACTGCCTCATTTAGTGTGTGATGGGTGCGACGTAATTTAGTGGCCATCCGTCGCACCTTCGATGTGAATGGCCTGTTGGCACTCACATAATCCATCACACACTGGATACGGGAAGTGTGTTGTCTCGCCGACTGGATCTTGGCTTCCATCTTTTGTACACGCCGATCGGCCCTCTCAATCGGTGAGACCGTTTGCATAGGTCTCTCTGGCAGAGAGGACCGAACCACGTCATACACGGCACAATTGATGTGCCAGATGTCAGCCCCTTCCGGAAGTGTTTCTTGAAGCGATTCATCCATCCTTGCAAGGACTCGGGTCCGCAGGGCCTTAATGTTGAGTAGGCTCCTGCGGTTCCTGATTTCGCTCACCTCAGGAAGCACACGGTCCCCTCTCTCGTTGTCGAGCAGGATGAGTGGAGCGTGTTGTTCCTCCACACCATTTTCCTGCCGAGAAGGGACTCTTACGTATTGTCTAGCGCGTAGGTGAGATACATAATCCCGAAGATTTTGAGCGGTGAATGCTCCATGCTCTGGGTGTTGCTCAATCCACAGAGCATGCATCCGCCTCATGTATCCCCTACGCCCTGGATCGCTGCTCTCGAAGCACTGCAGAAGGTCGTCTCTCAGATCATCTGTCCACTCAAAGCGTCCATTTTCATCGCGGTCGTTATCAGGCTGTCCGTCCTGTTGGGCCCCACCACCTTGCCTTTAACCCCTATCCGGCTGGGGTCGGTTGTGGGGGCCCTGTCCTCGGTTGATTGGAACCAGAGTATTCGGACCTGCCAGGTGGTTAACCTAGCAGGCCCACGGCTGACATGCAAGGAGAAAAGATTTTCTCCTTCAGGGTGCGCTCTCGCGGCCAGTCCGATTTTGCACCCTCAGCTCGGAAAGGTGGTGTCGCTACTCACCATGGGCAAACCTCTGGAAGATTTGCCCCTCCTGCCTATTTATTATTATTATTATTATTATTATTATTATTATTATTATTATTATTATTATTATTATCATTATTATTATTATTATTATTATTTTTATTATTATTATTATTATTATTATTTGAGTTTATATGATTCCAGTCACGACCCTGCGGCCTCCGACGTCACGCAGAGTCGTGCTGGACAAAATCCAGTGACTACTCCTCACAGCCTGTGAGGTGAGTAATCACTGGGACCAAGTACCGTGTGCCCTGAGTAGACGCAATGATCCTAGTATGACGGCCTTCTGCATTATTATTATTATTATTATTATTATTATTATTATTATTATTTTTATTA